GGGATCCCTAAGCACATCAATTCCAACCATATGCCGAGGCCTTCCATGGTACTCGCTCTGGCTTCTCAAACCGCAGGTGCACTGCGGAGAACCAAAGAGGGGACGTTGGCCAACTGTGGCCTGCGGAGGCCCCAGAGGGCTTCGTGTAGGAGGGGGCAGGGCTCTCACACGCAGGCCTGAGTCACGAATCAGCCTGGAATGCCGCGCCTGACTCACGACTCAGCCTCAAATGCTGCGAACAGCTGATCTGATGCATAAACAGTCCTTGCAAATGTCCTCCACTTCCCGCTTTGGACCTCACTGGTGCTGGGGAGACATGGCAACCCCCGACGTTCAGGGGGAGACGCACATTGACCATACAGTAGCACCTACAGTGATGGGGGCTGTAACCGGGGAAGCCCAGGACCGGGTGAGAACCCAGAGGAGGCAACTGGCTCAGCCTGGTGGAGCCTGGGGGGAGGGGAGGAAAGAGAAGCAGTTCAAGCATCCCACTGGACTCAGAGTACCCAACATGGCTCCATACAAGCATCTTCCTTCATTCAAAGGACTCTTGGGGTCCCCCAGTCTGGTAGGGGAGGCACAGCCAGCTTGATCAGGGCTGGGTCTGGAAAGGTGCCAGTGGCTCTGGATCCCAAAGAGGGCACTTAACCCCGCCTAGGGCAGGGTTGGGTGGAATTGTTTAGGGTGACATGTTAGGCTGATTCTTGGTGGCCTTCACCTAGCAGAGAAGGGATAGGAGAACTGGGACCTTCATATATGTGAAGACATAGTGTTAGGAGAGAGCCCCGCAGAAGTGAAGATGAGGTTGACTTGCTGAGGGGTGAGTGTGGCAAAGACCCCTCTGTGTCCAGCACTATTCTAAGACGTAGGTATTATTATTATCCCCATTGTACAGATGCGGACACTGAGGCATAGTGAGTTGTGTCCTGCTTGTCCAAGTTTGCCCAGTAGGTAAGTGGCAGAAGCAAATTGGAACCTGGGCTGTCTGGCTTCATGATCCAGGCTGGTAACCATTGCACTATCCCACCCACATACTTTTCAGAACATCGGGCAACAACAGGTGCTTAGTCAATGTCTGCCTAATCTGTCGTCTTGGTGCCCTCAATACTTCCTGCTGCCCCACCTCCACCCATCCCAAGAAACTGAAGCTCAGATGGGGAGAATTTTGAGCCGAGGTCTTCAGTCTGAACCCCTATGAAACCTTCCTGACCTGAAGCCATGCACCTTCTATTCTACACCTCCTATGCGGCTTTGGAAGGAGCCCTGGTGGTGCAGTGGTTAAAGTGCTCGGCT